CCCACACCCACACCCACACCCACACCCACACCCACACCCACACCCACCCACACCCTCACGGCTATCAAGCTGAACTACACAGCAGCTCAGTGCATCCATTAAACAACTTCGTGCAGTACAAGAACTTGGTGAAGAAATTGACAAAGACGAACTGAAACGACAAATCAATGATCGAGAAACTCTAGAAGGTCGACTAATGCATTTAAAATATCATGAAAGTAAATTTATATATATATTAAAATAATTAGAATCTATCTGTTTTTTCTTTAGAATGAGCAAAACAATTCATGATGCGATCTTGTCGAAAATCCATCTAAAACTTCATTTACTTTTTTATCTTTTTTTACATAATAAATCTATCTTTCTATTCTAACATATTCAATATTATTAAATATATATTTGTATCGAACATCAGATTGTGAGTAGAGGATTCCTTATATATCGCTTCAAAAGCATTAAAGAAATGCCTCGACACATAATCGTAATATGAAGCAGAAGTGATAAAAAAGTGCCAGCTTAGCTACCGATATAAGATTACTGGACAATACAATATAAAATATTGAAAAACTTCAGTTTTAATGATTATATATAATTACTTAAGAATATAGATTGATCTCAAATTCGCAACCAGAATTACACATTCGATTTGAAGTGACTAAATATATTATTGAAAAATAGTACCAGTGAAATATGGCTCGAACAGATCTATTCATATCCAAGTGAGAAGCAACTGCAACGTCAACAATGTAAAAACGGTATAAAACGGTAAAAGTATGTAAAAAACGGTCACTTTTCCTAGATAATGGATTTTGCGACAAAATACGATAGTGTGGATGTGAGTGTGATGATGAAATAAGGAAAAGACCCTTATATCCACATGCACACCCACACCCACACCCTCAAGCTGGACAACCATATAATCAGGTACAACTACTACTTGATATTGATGGTCGCGAAACGTTGTTTCAACAATTAAACGACCTACGACACCACTACCGTAAATATTAATATACAGATGTTTGCAAAAAAACTTGCAAACACCTTATTATTTAAAACAATTAGAATTTTACTTTTTTTTAGAACATGCCAAGCGTTTCATTCAAAGATGTGATCGAAAATCAACTTGACTATTTTTCACTTTTTATTTTTTTTTACCACTTGCTAGTTTTATTTTTACCATTTGTTACTTCCTTTTTTTTACCATTTGTTACTTCTTGATTAACCAGATAATAAACGGTCAAGAAAATAAACGGGGAAACAAAGAAAGGTAAAAGAATGAGAAATAACCGATGTGTATGTACATGCACGGCGGACATGCACATACAAGAATACATATATACATATTTATTGCAGTTGGAATCATCAATTTCAATAAATATGACTCCTATTAATGTTCATATTCTTGATTTACCTGACGAAATATTGCTGATTATTTTTAATAAATTTAGCAATATTGATTTATTATATTTACTAATGGGTATTAGTAAAAGGCTTGATCAAATTACATCTGACAGTATGTTTACTGAAGATGTTGATCTAACAACAATATCATCATATGACACGAGTGATTCCAGAGTTAATATTGTAGTTGATCGATTCTGCACATATATATTACCTCGAGTTCATAATAATGTGGAATCGCTAAGTGTTCAAGCACCAATATTTCATCGTATTCTTGGTGCTAGCCACTATCCTAACTTACACAAGCTGACTCTTCTCAATATCAAAATCGATATGGCTTCTGATATTTTTAATGGTATGTTAATTTTTTTCTTGGTTCTCAAGTAATAATATTAATACAATCTTTTTTCATTTCTATATTAGAAACTTCACTATTTGTTCGATCGTACAAACATAAAATTTCACATTTGGTGATGACGATCAGTGGTGTATCTCTTGATGAATCAACAGAGATCATAATAGGTCAAACTTATGCTGCGGTTTTCGCCTGTTTATCAAATCTACAGTATTTGGACTTAAATGGCATTAATGTTAATCTATACTCAAGACAGTTGTTGGATGGTTTATCTTCTACAATATGTTATTCTTATAATGTCGCTCATCTATGTATTAGAATATACGATTTTGATGATTGTCTGTGTTTACTCGACGGTCGCCTTAGTCAATTACACACATTAATTGTCATACTTGATTACGTCCGCGATTCAAGAGTAATTATAAATAATGAGGTAAAGAATTATATACAATAGTAAAAGTATTCTTTCGTTCTAATATGTGAGAGACAACTTTTGTATAGAACATGTATAGATAGTTCTAAAAAAGATGTGTATATTTATACTTAAGTATACATTGGAAAATTAGAATATCAAAATACTAACTAGTGGCTAATTTAATGTAATTAATATTTAATGATATTCTGTACCAACTTCATAGATAAGTAGTCATCTAGACTTTTTATTTATAACTGAAAGTTTTGTATTAAATGAAAATAGATTGGCATATAAAAGAATAAGAGAAGTTGTGATCATAAAGAAAGGAAAAAACTATTTCCAAGAAAATTATTGCAATACTTTTCTTTCTGGACGTTCATAAAATGGCTTTAATTGTTCATATATGAGTTACTTTTTGATCATTGAATTATTTTTATAATTATTAATGAGCAACGGTAGACATAAAATGAAATTTTATCAATGCTTTTTTCTTTTTAATTTTTTGTACCAACATTAGTTTCATGCGTAAAATATTAACGTAGAATTATTGAATATTTTTTGTGTTATTTTTATAGGATACTCTACTTAAACTCAAATGTTTTTCGTTATACATAAATCGTCCAACTGTTGACTTTGACAGTAAAGTCGTGCCGCTTCTTCGTCGAATGTCAAATATGGAAAAGTTAACATTATCTTTTCGTGTTCGTCGTCGAAATTTATTGATTGATGGTATTTATCTAACTAATCAAATTTGTATTCACATGTCTCATCTGCACACATTTATATTCGATATCGTCAGCGATGATACAACAATTAATGTACATCCTAAACCATCTTCTGATGATATTCGACACACATTCATCGAAAAAGGACATCATGTTGATTGCTACATTAACTATTACACAGGTGGACTAGCTCGATGTCACGTTTATTCGCTTCCTTTCATGATGGAACGTATAAATGATATTACATCTAGATTTCCAGGTGGTATATTTATAAATGTTCGCGTTTTACGTGTGTGCGACATTCACCGCTCTTATGAAAAGATATTCTTTGCTAAAATCTCGCGCTCTTTTCCATTACTCACTAGCTTGATCGTATCGAATATAATAGAACCAATAGAAAAACCATCATGGCAGTTAAAGAAATTTAATGAAACATCATCTATTATTACATATCCTCATCTTGCAGAACTTGTTTTAACTTACGTACATATAGACTATGTGGAACAATTTCTTTCTAGCTTCAACACATGTCTGCCTTGTCTTAACTCGCTTCACATTCAATATGAACATTTAACAACTGTCACAGAAAATTTCACAAGAGATGCAACACGTATGAATTGTGCAAACGTGAAACGTATCGTTTTTGATAAAGTCATTCATTTAGTACAATCAAGAAATTTTTATCTGTATTTCCCTGCTTTGTAAAAATGTTGTTCTATGTAGTTTTTGAATTTATTTGTTAAATCAATAAAATAAAATGACAATGTGTATCTAGAAAGAAACATTTTATTAAACTCACATTAACTAAGGTGAAACTGTCAATAATGAAGATAGATCTATTTAATTTATAATATTTCTGTTATTCAATGAAAATATAAAACATTTTCTATCAATATATTAAATCAACTGAAGCGAAGAAAATGTTTATCAGAAACATAAATATGATACGATGGTATTTGAAAGACCTTTTTCTGTGAAAAATTCAATAAAAAAAAGAGCAAATAGAATAGTAATAAATCAAAATTATCACTTTTACCTTTTGAATTGAGCAGATAAAAGAATAACCAATCCATCGTATTATATTATAATTGACTGACTTTGTGCGACATCTTGATATTTCATGTGAATATAGTACGAAAACAATTTCGATCTTCCTTTACATATGTGAATAATATAATGAAATGTGGTTGTGCATCTTTTCGATAAATATTGATTGATCAAGGTTGATACCATTGTGAGATAAGTATTATATATTTGAACAAATTCAAACTTTGTTATTTTCTTCTTCTTTCTTCTTTTGTTGTCAGGGCCCTTTCTTTTCTCGTATATGTTTCTCTTGAGATAGGTATTTTTCTGGTATGTATGATAAATAATGCCTAGGCACACGTGAAACAAAATAAACATCAGAGAGACTGACACATGTCAGATTGAGTCGTTTACAACTATTGGTACTCCTGCTGTTTCACCGATTACATGCTGACAAAATAGACGAAAGAAACAGCTATTATCATCCTTCTCATGGTCATGATCAATGTCAAGATTATTAATCACATTCTAATCCCTATTGTTAATGACGAAATAACACTGCAGAATATTGTTTACCATATCAATGTTTTAAGCAATGCCTATTCGATTATTTTTCTATATAAAGTCATCACACTAGGATAACTTTATTCAGCATATATATATTAGCTGAATTAATATTGTTCGATGATAATGCATATGTTATTAACACGCGTACGTGAACATATTATACTTGACTCATAGAGTAAACACAAGTAAATGAGATAACAAAAATGCATTTGTATTTAGGTTATTTTTGAAGTAAAAAATGGCATCGTACTGATCCTTTTTTCTTGTTCTCTTCATATTTTTTTCTCTGTTCTTTATATTATATATATATTTATATTACTCGTTCTCTTCATACATTTTTCTTTGGCTTCTATGTCTTTGAATGTTAAGGTTTTTTTTAAACGTTTGCATCTTTGATTAGATGGTGAAATATAAAGAAATCGTTATTTTAGATATTGTATGATTATTTAAACAAGCTTATGATAACAATTTTTAAAGAGCATTGACGAGCTTTAGCCGTATTTTGTCTATATACATATTTTCTCAGACGAGGAAGTCTGTTATTTTCTTCTTCTTTTTCCTGGTTTCCCATAGACATCGTAGTCATATACCACTTACGCAGAAAATTGTTGTCGCAACGGTTAAAATGGCGACAGATAGATGAAGATATCTGCATGCAAAGAACGCATGAGTAATTTCATCTGATTTAATAAAGAAAATTTTTTACAGTTTTAGATAAAAAAAACAATATATATACATATTAACGATGACAACATCTATATTACCAGAAAAATATAT